CCCTGGGGAAGGGTCGCAGTTCTGGGGGGGCGGAGGGGAGCCCCTCTTCTCAGAGGCCCAGGGACCCAGGGCCTCTTTGGAGAGGAAGGGGGTGCCAGGTGAGGCATCAGCCCCAGGAGGGGTGGGAGCCGAGGCAGTGGGGAGGAAGGGGAGCCCCCTCCTTTTCTAGCCCAGAAGCTCAGTGGAGGCTTCTTAAGGCTGGATTCCTACGGATTAGGGGGGTGCTCTTGGGTGGGGGGGGTTCAAAACTTTTAGCCCCATTTGTGGCTAGGTGGGGGACATGTGACTGAGTGGGCATGGCCAAGTTGATATTTGATGTCACGCACCCTCAGTTACATCACCCCACACACACACCAAGCTACGGCCACCAAAACAGTGGCGAAAATTCTTGGGACTCCGAGGGAGGGGAGAGGGGGGAGAGAGGGGGAAAACTCCCAACAATAGGATTCAACTTGGCAGCCCCGAAACCTTTGGCCTTTCCACACCCTAAATGCTCCAGCAGTCGATTGGGGAGTTTTTCCCCTCTCTTCCCCCCCTCCTTCCCTCCCTCGGAGTCCCAAAATGTTTGAAACCCACCGCTGGGGAGAGCAGTCGCGAAGCTGTGGCCACCGGCAGCGACACGTAAGGGCCTGGGCGGGCGGGTGGGGGGCTCTGAGAAGCGGCTGCCCGGGACCCTCCTGGCCCCACATTGGCAGCCGAGTTCCACTGTGCCCCTTCCCCAACCGGCAGGACCAGCGGCCAGGCCGTGTGAGGCTGCTGAGCTCACTTCGGGCTGGCAGCACCTAGATGGGCGCGCCAAGTGAGCGAGTCCTCCCGGGTGACCTGGAGCCGGCTCCAGGAGTCACGGCTGATGAGGGGCCTGGGAGACCCTTCAGTCGGAGGGCTTGGGCTGCAGCTGGGCTGGCCATGAGGGTGAGGGGGCCACTCCTCTCTGGGGGAAGGCGAGATGCCCCCCCCCTCCGGCCTCTTATGGGTCTGGCTTGGCTCCACAAGTATTGGAAGCGTTAATTTTCTGACGGTCGGCAAAATGGCTCCAAAGCTTTCAGCACCACGACGGCCCACAGTCAGGATCGGGCCCTCTGCTGGGGTTGGTCCTGCCACCTTCTGTGGGCAATATTGTCCTTTCCCCTTGATTGGCCAGGAGCTGCCTGGCATCCTCCCAGCCTCAAGTGGCCCTTTTGCTGCAGACAACGGGAGGAAACCTTCGGGGGAGGGGGGCTCCCTGCTTCCCACCCTCCCCTGTCCTTCTGGGCCTTGGTCTCCCCAGGAGGTGAGCAGGAGGTGAGCAGGGCCCCTTTTCCTTCCAGGATCTCTGGGCAATATCTCCAAGACCTTCTCCGACTTCTCCGAGCCCGACGAGGTCAACAGCTACCTAAACCTCAACGTGACCTCTGCCCTCTGCCTGACCGCCTCCGTCCTGAAGGCCTTTCCCGCCCAGCCTGGCTTCAGCCGCCTGGTGGTCAACATCTCCTCCCTCTGCGCCCTGAAGCCCTTCAAGAGCTGGAGCCTCTACTGCACAGGGAAGGCAGCTCGGGACATGATGTTCCAGGTCTTAGCGGCCGAAGAGCCGGACGTGCGGGTGCTGAACTACGCGCCAGGTGAGTCCCTGACCCTCCGGCTCCCCCGGGGATCCCCTGTGGCTGGTGGCCCTTTTTTGCCCCGCCTTCCTTCTCCGCAGGCCCCCTGGACACCTCCATGCAGGAAGAAGCCCGCTCCCTCTCAGCAGACCCCGAGGTGAGGCAGGCCTTCATCCACCTGAAGGAATCCGGGCAGCTGATCGACTGCGACGTCTCCGCCCGGAAGCTGCTGGACCTGCTGGTGGCAAACGCCTTCGAATCCGGTGCCCACGTGGACTTCTACGACCCCTGAGCCACCCTCCGGGGCCCTGCTCCCCTTGGAGGTCCCTTCGCCATGCCACGGCTTCCTTTCTCAAAAGACCAGGAATTATCCTGTCGCTTTTTTCATGCGTGTTGCAGTAAATATCGTCTGCCAGGAAGTTTTGCATCTGAGGTCCTTGTAGAAGCCTTTTGCAAAGTTCTGCACTGTCCCTGTGCCCCCCCAAAAAACCCAGCCAAAAATTACTCTTTACGTGTGGAAACTGTCGCTCTGCACAGGGTGGAAGGTGGGGCTGAGCGGAGAGGGATCCATGCAGCAGCCCTAAGTACCCAGCTTGGCATGAAGGTTTGCCAGGGACCAGTCTGAGAGAGTTGGTTCCCCGGTAAGGAAGGGCTGCACAGCCCACAGCTGAGGGGGGCTCCCTGGAGGGAATCGGGAGAGCTTTTGCCCCACATCTGCCAGCTCTTCCCCCTCAGTGCTGGACGATGGGCTTCTTCTGGGTGGCAGAGAGGGCACCCTGGCACTGAGCAGAGCCTCTGCCCCGCTTGGGCTGTCTGAGTGGCTGCAATCTTTGGTGCCCTAATACAGTGGTTCCCAAACTTGGCAACTTTAAGACTTGTGGACTTCAACTCCCAGAATTCTCCAGCCAGCTCTGCTGGCTGGAGAATTCTGG